TTATACAAAGGAGTAAACCAAATTATTATTTTTTACATCTAATTCATACCTTTTTATTATAAGTATATATTTCATTTAAGAAAAATCCGGAAAGTCTTCTTGGTTTGACGTTTTTTAAGTATGCGATTCATTTCTGATGAAGTCTGTTGTAGAAGAAAAGAAAGATCAGTTCGTTTTTACAGGAAACGGACGATCTTTGATAGACTACTTCGGCCCGAAAATCCCAGAAATACGGAATCATTGCCGAGCAACAGAAATAATACAATACCTTTCCACAAGATCTATCACGATATCTCTTCATGGGATACTATGACACGAAGTGAAAGTCACCACAACAATGTTTCGACTGCGTGCTAATCTGCAGCTTCGATGGAGTTTATTAGACTTAGCACCAAACTATAAATCCTTAAAAAACAAGATGTCATTTCCATCGACCAACACTATGCTGTAAGAGCATAGAACTTCCACTACATCGTGTCTCCTTAACTCTGTACTTAGTATTCTAACTTCATATGACCAAGTCGCCTCTCTACTTAGACTGGAATCCATGCACAATTAATATCTTATAATAAACATTGTATAGACCAAAGAAATACATAAGGAGGCAAGAAAAGCGTAAAGAATGTGTAGATATGCAAAGATATGGAAATAAGAAACGAATGAAAGTGAAATCTGATGAAAATTTTACCATTTAATAAAAATAGTCTAAATATAATTTTAAAACGATCTTTAACTGCTACTCAAGCAGATTCACTCCTTTTGGAGTACCAAATCATACAATACGATTATAATATAATAAGTGCTAGAATTTAATGAAATAAGATACTTATATATACTTTCATATTTTGAATAATGAAATGTAACTAAAATTCAATCCAAAAGCAATGACTACCTCGGCGGTTTCGAGCGTATTGGGGGGGGTCCTGAGCCTAGGGGACCTCTGTTAGGTGCCGGCAGTACTGCTGCGGTGGGTACAAAGCTAGCAGGCGGCTTAGATGCCTTCCTTGTTCCATTTCCACCAGTATCTTGTGCAGAAGAACGCGAAGGTGATGAAAGTAATGAGGCTATTGAATTAGCAGACTTGGAGGCAGGCAGATGTGATG